AGCTTATGAATCGGTACTAGATGATATTGGTGGTGTTCTGTATGAATTTAGCCCTGGCCTGGATGTTCTGTTTGGTCAAACTGCTAGCTTGGTAATTACTCAGATTATACTTGGTATGACTTTTCAGTTGTCTAGAATTTTCTCAATTTTTTGCTCTTCAGAAGTGTAATTTGATGTCCTGATCAGTATCACCCAGTACTCTTTATATGCCATCCTTTTCTTGCAGTCAGCAAATTTAATCCAATCTAATGTATGTGTCTGAATGTTGTTTCTTTTGTATTTCTGCAGGCATATGATGCTACACAACTAGTGAAGTCCTATGCAGGCTCTCCCCTGGACATCTTGATTGATCAAGGCAAAGATGACCAGTTCCTATCAGCGGGCCAGTTACTGCCTGATAACTTCATCGGTGCCTGCACAGAGCAGAAAGTCCCAGTAGTCTTTAGACTACAGCAGGCAAGTTGCTTCTCCAGTGCTTGATTGTCAGGTTGTTGGTTTGTGATTTTTGGGTCTGTGTGGCAGGTAGTGAGGGGAGTGTCTCTTAACAGGGCATGCTGTCACTTAACCTGTGAATCTGTCCTACCTGTGCGGAAGAGGGTGACAAGTGACATTTTCTGTAATACAAGCTATCCGGAGTGCAGTATCCATCAGGCTCAGCTGCATTTCACCACTAGGTGGGGTCATGATTTTAGTTTGGAGGAGCTGATCCCTCGGAGGTCGCCTGAAGAAGCAGCAGTAGTGATTTTTCATAAGCATCACAGTCACTGTATGATCAAAGTGACAGATGTGCTTTTGCTGGATTCCTTACCTGTACTGTGGGTAGTGTGTTTAGCATACTTTGTGATTTAGTTTGCATGTGTTTGTGTAGGTTGGGAAAGGTGTGGAACTGCTTGAAATCTTAAATTCATTTAAAGAGCCACGTGGAAGGATTTCTCTTTCCTATGGTGTGGTGACCTAGAACAGCACTTGTCTTAGTAAGTGACTGATGACTTCCAGCTGGACACAGAGGATCCTGGTTGTAGAGAGTGAGGGACTGCACCAAAAGAGAAAGTGCTGACAGAGAGGGGTAATTCAGAGGTTTACATGCCACTATAGCATAGTGCTGGAGCTCTAATTCAGGGCTGGGCTGTGTCCTACTTATACCATGTGTTTTATGAGTAGGACAACGTTGGTGAGGGGGGGACTGTTGTCTCAGATTGCACCTTACTCTGCAACTGATGCTGTTATCAGCTCTGATTCACATGCCCAGATTGGGGCAGGTTAGGGTACTTTCTGTTTCTTCAGCTCCCTAGTGTTCTAGATATTTCATCTGCTAGGTATCCTAGGCATTTTCTATATATAATACAGGTATTTTTGAGTTCTTAAAACAGATCAAACCAGGATATACATTAACTTCCCTAGAAGAGAACTTAGCATGATTGCTATATCATGAACTATGTGTATTTGCCAATTTCTTTATTATTGTTTTTTTCTAGGGTTACGATCACAGCTATTTTTTCATTGCTACGTTTATTAATGACCACATCAAGCACCATGCAAAATACCTCAATGCTTGAACCCTCTGGATGTGAGCATCACCTGACCATTGTGAATCAAGGGATAGAAATGAACTAAACAAAAATCATTTGCTGGAGTAGTGTCTGTAAAATGGAGCTCCTCTGATTGTACTGCTAAGGAAAATAAAAGCCCCACTTAATTTGCTGTGTGTGCTTTAGAGTAAGTATTTTGAATGTTCTTGCATGCTTTGAAAAATCCCCCAACACCATGAAGGTGTGTGCTGCATTCTAGGTCAGAATGGAAATGAGCTGATGAGTTAGTTTCAGGCTATGAATGTAGGTGTGCATTTGGGACGGCAAGATGAATAACAAGTGTCCTTCTTCAGCTAATTAAATACTAGGGTTCACTTCATTGCTTAATGCTGAAGGAAGTCATTTGTGGCACAACCAATGAAGCCACTTAATTAATGTGAAGTGGCTGCTTTATTTTTCCTTGGCCTGTCTAAATGCATACCAAGGACAATGTGTGGTGTAGCATACAGACAACAGCTTGCTGTGCAGTGTGGTTTGCTGGCCAGTATGTTATTAACATCAAATAATCTGAAGAGTATTTCAAGGATGATACTTAAACAAAAGACCTCTTAAAAACCATTTGAAGGAAGCAGGCTGTAGTAAAGGAGGGGTTGTTGTTGTTTTCTCCACTTGTCTTTGATTGTTGCTGAGTGCTGTGTTTCTGGCTTTCTTAGACTAACAGGATTGAAAGGAAACTGATAAATAGATCTGAAGGAAAAAAAGGCAGTTCCTATCTCTAGATGCTCTCTTATTATGGAAAAGAGTGTTCTTATTTGACAAAAGATAACAGGATTTTTGCAGGCCTGACAGTTGTAGGACTAAACTAGTTCCCAGTGTTAGAATTCTGCCTGCTACCTTGTGTGGGACAAGAACAGTGGAACTAAATGATCCAAACCATTCTAACAAACACAGCTTGTTCCAGTGAGCTGTCAACCTCATGATCACACAATTACTTGTAAAATCCACTTGCCCATGGTTCAGTTGAACCTTCATCCTTGCTCAAACCCTGACTCCCTCTTGCCAGAGGAAATTCTAGGGTAGCTGTAGGATCAATTGTTTTTGTAAGCAATGCTGAATGCTCGCCTGTTTCCCTGGCCCCTGCTAGGTTGTGTTGCAGGGAGGTTGATGCTGGGAACCTCCATTTCTGTTGCTGGTGACAGGCTTAAATTATGTATTGACTTCTATTGGTCTTGCATCTGCCAATTCCTAAAGCAAGCCTAGAAGGCTGTCTGGTGAGGCACTGGCACATGTTGCCCAGAGAAGCTGTGGCTGCCCCGTCCCTGGCAGTGCTCAAGGCCAGGCTGGATGGGGCTTGGAGCAACCTGGTCTAGTGGAAGGTGTCCCTGCCCATGGCAGGGGGTTGGAACTGGATGAATTTTTAGGTCCCTTCCAACTCAAACTAGTCTATGAAGACACAGCTGTGTGCATTGCAAGAGTTCTCTGAAATGTTGAATGCAAGGTTTCCATGCTGTGGATTTACAACAGACACCAACTCCCCCTTTCTAATAAAGCAGGATATTGACAGAAAAAATTTAAGCCACGACTGCTAAATGTTTAGATATTTCCATTCCCACAACAGCAAAATGGGCTCAAAGGCTTGTTTCATGTATGGCAGCTTCTTCTAGTTGTTCCTTCTCCATCTTACAACCAGGCAATGGCTCTGCTGTGACCAACAGATGTGTTCCTGGGCAGTAGCTTTGGGCCAAGCACTGTGGACAGAGCAGGGCAGCAGCAGTTGGTGAATTCAGCTTGGGGCAGGTGTTTCTAACACTGAACATTTCCATTTGTTATCTGTCAAAGGCACTATTTCTGTTCCTTGTAGCTAAGGGAAATGGCATGGCACTTTTTTCATTTCTTAACAGGAGTCTATGCACCTGTGTGTTATATTAGAGGAGATTAAAAAGCCCATTTAACCCTGTAATTTACTGGAAGTGCTTTTAAACTACAATTTTAAAGCTGCTGGGTTAATGGTAGGAAGCAGCTTGCCGTTCATGGTGGGGGGAAAGCCCTCTTGTATACTTGATAAATTTATATGGCATAATTCTAAGTTTCCCAGCATATTGTGGATGGGTGTGGGAAGCTCTGTTATCTGTAGCCTTACAGTCCAGCAGGAGATCCATTACCAAGTCAGCTTCCCCAAGCACCTGCCCAGCTATAATTTTGGAGCTGGAACGTGTCACATTGCTTGCTTGACATTCCTAATGATTGGCTGTTCTCATGCACTATTTGCTTTCGTGGTAAAATTCAGTGTTCACAGGCACCGCTGCCTTGCTTCTTGGGAGAGACTGCAGTTGCCTGACTTGTGAGCAGGAGCAGGTTCAGGTGAGGTTCTGACAGGCTTCACAAGTCCAGAACAGCACAAACCCATGAGAAGAGCTGGGGCATGTGCAGCAGTTGCACAGATGGCTACAGATCCCTGGTTCACTGCAGCACTATAATGAGAATTGCACAAGGCTGTCAGATCTCTGATACTGGCAGTGCACAAGCCTCAGGTGTACTTGACCTTCAGTGAGGATAGCACCAGAACACCACTGTAGGACTCCTCCTCCCTAAATTATAGAATAATAGAATAGCTTGGGTTGGAAGGGACCTTTAAGCTCACCCAGTTCCAACCCCTGCCCTGGGCAGGGACACCTTCCACTAGACGAGGTTGCTCCAAGCCCTGTCCAGCCTGGCCTTGAACACTGCCAGGGATGGGGCAGCCACAGCTTCTCCGGGCAGTGCCTCAACACCCTATGCAGATTCTAACACAGCAACCAATCTGTCTTGGCTGTGTATTGCAATAGCCACACAGGCACTTAAAGTTCCTCAGCACTCAAAAGCAGGATCTCCAAGGGAGATTGTTGCAGAAAGAGCTCCTCTTTCAACAATCCACTGCCAAACGTGAGCAAATACAGCCATAAAGACACCTGGTTAAGGTAAAGACACTTCGTTACAGAAATGAGAAAATACCAAAATCTGCACTTGGATGGGAAGAGGGCTCTGGAGTAGGACCTACAAACAGTAGTTTCTACTGCCCGTTTCTGCAGACAGGAGTAAGCATTGGCACAGGCACTGGGTTCTCTATGGCCAGGTCAGAAAGCGGCACTGTGTTTACTGTTTGGACTCACTAGAATAAGGAAATCATCAGATTTCATTGGCAAAAGCCTATGGAACAATCTCTATTTCAGAAGGAGGGTAGGGAGGAGAAGCAGCTGCACCATGGGAAAAAGAGAGAAACTGAAAAGAACACCACTTGCACAGTGACAAGAGCAAGAGCAAACTGAAGGTGGAAGCTCCTGTCTGCCTGAGCTGAGCCCACCATGACACCCAGGCCCAGAAGCAGAGGGCAGTTAATGCAACCATCCCCAAGCCCTCATTCATCATTCCCAGGGCTAGGCTCTCCCAGCACCATCTCTCGTACAAGAAACTGTCAGTCAGAGGGACAGCTGTTAAAAGGTTTCTACAAATAATAAAGTTTAATTGTAGCTACAGTAGAGATCGTCTATATACATTACATGTGCTGCTTAGGGTAGTAGAGCTTTGCCATGCATGTTTTATTGCACATACAAATAGGGTACAAAGGTTGATGGAGGTTCTTCTTTCAGCCGTACAGGTTAAGACTGCATAAAAAAAGCTGTATTACAAAATATTTAGAGCTCTTTATTTACAGCCAACTTCAAGCAAATACTGAAAGACACTATCAGGAGAAAACCAAAATTTTAATTATGAAAAAAACAAGATTTCTCAAAATAATAATTACAAAGCTTCATGTTGCCATATATACATTGTAAAAAAATACTCAGGAAACCTGCATTTTATCCCTCAAGATGCAGAAATCAATACTCCTATTTTTTATACTTGATCTGTGAATGCATTTAAAATTTGATAAACTCTGACTTGAAAACTTATTTTCTTTACATTGCTCGTGCTTTTTGACAAAACAGATATTTGTGCAGCTCTGTAAAATATTAAAATACATTTTAATTTAATGTTAAAGTGCACAGTACATTTTATAGGAAACCATATGCTAGCTGCCAATCAGAAAATTACAGTTGAAGTCAGTGTTCCCTCTGTAAAATAAACTCTTTTGCTTTGGTTGAAGTAACTGGATATTCCATGCATACCCTATGCTTCATTGGCTGTGAGCCCACCTTCCTCCTCCTGAGACACTGCTGTCACTACATACCTGATTTGTGGTATTAAATCACGGAAGTTTGCATTCAAACACTGTATTAACCCTTATAAACCTACTGTTGGAATACTGATGGGTTTAAGCACAGTGTGTCTGTGACAGGTATGCATCACCTTTCCCAAAAGTCTTTATACAATAGTCCTCTCCCCATTCTCTTGCTTAAATATTTAGTCCTCCCACCACCACACTGCTTTTTTGTCATTACACATATCCAACTCCCTGCCTGCATTCACCACTGACCCCTAACTCTTCTCTTCCCCACATGCAGTTTGCCTGCCCCGTCTGCTGAAGTTACATCCCTAAGCTTCTTATAGGAAAGGAAAACAGATCTTCCAGGCATGGCAAGAATGGAACTTCTTGATCTAAAATATGTGATGTTTCAATAATAAAATGATACTTTAAAGTACTGATAAGAACAAGAACCTTATTTTCTATTGCTGATGTGGGATAAGAGATCTGATCCCACAGACATCCACTGCAGAACATTGTGCTTAGTTCTGTGGGGAACTGATGGAGACCATCAGGAGAAGCCCTGGACCCAGCAGGATGGATCTGGAAGATCAGGTCTTTGAGTCTGCCTTTGGCAATTTTAATAACTTTTATCTCCTCTCGAAGGAATCGCTGAAGAAAACAAATCAGTTTCAGCTACCTAGTGACTCTTCTCGTTACTGTTCTTGTGCTGTTTCTTACTATTTGTTCTGTAGTGCTGTAATCTTTAAAAGAAATCAAGTTACAGTGCAAAATCCTATCTCAAGACACATGATCCTAATGCACATCGTTCATTTTCTTGTGGAAAAAGTTAAATGTCTTGTGCATAGTAAAATAAGCAATCAAAAATACTCATTCACATTTACTTTTCAAGTTTACATCTTTCCTTTTTTTCTGTGTTTTTTAAACATCTATATACAACTAGAATGGGTGTGCTCTCAATTTCAGCCAATTCACTAGTCAGGGGGAAAAGTGCTACTGGAATGTAGGAAACTCAATGGAATGCTGACAAAAATGTTCCACAAATTCAAGAGATCAAGAATGGCATTCCAGCTAGCTGTCTTTTTCAGAAAAGCACCTCTTGTGTTTTTTTCTCTCTTATGTATTAGAAAATACAGTTTACGGAGATCTAGGGCTACTGCACACCAAGTAGAATAAAAAATAACTCAATATTTATATTAAAATAAAGTGTTTAACCACAAAAAAGCAGTAATAAAATACAGTTTCCTAATTTACATTTTTGCATCCAAAGGATGAATAACAACTCACTAATAAATAATATTTATATAAATACTTGATGTCTGGATATTTTTAAAAGGCAATCATAGCCTGAAGCAACTGCAGAAAAACCTAAAGTGGTACAAGGCTGATTTACTCTCCCTCCCCCTCATGACTACAGTGATTCTTAGGTTAATAATACAAAGGTATCTTGCTGCAAGACAGCTGTGGACTCCACACATCTGTAAGTGGCAGAGAGGTGACTGTTTCAGTAAGTACTGTACAAAGTGAGCTATAAAAAGCAGTGAAGCGCCAATTTGCTCTAGAAAATGTTTCAGTTTAGTTTCTGGTTTGTCATTCGATGCACAGGTACAGTCTGACAGGTGATTTTGAAATCAGAATTACAAGAATACTCTTGGAGCACTGGGTTGTTTTCAATGCAGTTTAAAAAGCTGGGCAGTATTTTGACTCTTTGATGGCACACTGGAGCTGGTAACAGCAGAGAGGAGTTTCATGTGAATAAAGCTTGTTTTGTTGTGGTTACATCTAGCAGTGCTTGAACTGTTATGCTCACTTTTACCAAGCCCTTTTCTTCTAGGATGTGATGTGGCAGGCAGAGCTTCTCCTAGAAAGAGACAAACAAAGGAGTATAGATTAGGATATTTAATACTCATTGCAAAACGCTTTACATGATCACCATTGGAACACAGAGCCCAACAAGCAGGAGCCATTTCCTATTTTTAATTAAAAAGAACTTCTGTGATTTTGACAGAACATCTCCGATTTTGCTCTTGTTATACCTATGAATTAGTGAGAGATCTGGAAATACCCTGGGCCTCAGAAACCACCTGTTCTGTTCATTACAGTATGTAATCTGCACTACGTGTGAGCACCAGCAAGCACACACTGAACTTACACCAACAAGGTGAGGTAACATGGTGTTTGCCTGTTACTACATACAAGTGAGTTTGGGACAGACGGCTGGTTTTATCAGTTAAAAAAGGTTCTACCCCTGAGCTCTAGACAGGGAGGACTTGCTCCCAGGATATGCACCTTGAAAGCCACAAAAGAGTGCATGTAATGTTATATATTCATGGGGTGACACGTTTCATTCTGAGTTACTGGCAGCTTATTTTGAAATATCCAGAAATGAACTTTATTCACTGTAAGGACATGGAAATCATGGCCAGGATGAAGCCTACAAAGGTTGTTCCACCAGAAGACAGCTGAACAGTGAACACTGCATCTCCCACAGGCAACAAGACACCAGTGAATAACTACAGAAAGCCTTGCTTAGAGAGGTAGCCTTGGGTCATGGTTGGTGCCCTCTTTAAGAGGAGGATTTTCTTCATGTAACTGAGTATTCTTGTTAATGAAATCCGTGAAATGATGAAATCAGGCAAGAGGTTTATAATAAGTAGATGGGAAGGCTAGACTGTATTACATAGACCATAATTACAGCTGTGAGACTCATCACCCAACACAGAAGCCAAAAGTGTACGTGGGATGACAAAAAAATACAGATAGAAAAAAGAACCCCAAATGACACTATTAATCACAAACACACGGATACAGCACCTAGCTCACCAAGTCCTTAAACTGTGCATGTTAGATTGCTTTATGTTTGAAAAGGCACCATCTGTGATCTAACCTGTTCTTTCCCTGACCATCCTCACATGACCATCAGCAGACATGGGATACTGATTCTTTAGAGGGTTGTTTTGATATTCTTAGTATCGAATCTCTCAGCTGTTCAATAAACATTTAGCTTCTAAAACTAATGATGCATTTGAGATTATATTTTAATCAATCGCTTGTCTTCTACTGAACATTCTTCTTACTCCTGTCATGTCACCTAAGGGCCTCTTATTTTATCTTTATGGAATTCATGGTACTTTTTAACACCTTCTTATATTCAATATTGATTACATCTGCAATTTAAACATCACTAATCTCTTCAACCACTCTTCTCCTGACACTTTTTGTTCAGCTCATCCCTTCCCTAACCTCTCAGAACCCTTAAAACTCAACACAATATTCAGGGTGATGAAACTGGTACACGTAAGAACAATTAATACAGTTTTTGTCATGTTATGAACCTCTTTTATGGATTTTATCTGTTTGCACCATGTCCAGTGTTTGCTCCTCCAGTGGGCCACAGCTCCATCAGAACAGTACCAGTATTAAACAGCTGCTTTGCTGCTTCTGTTTCACTTCATTAATGAGTATTTCCTTGATGAGCAACCAACACTTCACTTTGCTTAAACTTTACGTGAAGTTCCTCACACCCCAATGAGAGAAAAACTGCAAAACTTGTCTTTAAATTACTAAATCTAAAAAGTGAGCACCAAACTTTATTCACCATCATGGCATCTTATATTGATAACTGTAGTTTATGTGTATTGTATGTTTACATTTACTACTTAAGATGCTTTAATATTCATTATTTTATGTTTAAAAGATTTTTTAAATGAGTTTGTAATTTATTTTATTTATTTTTTTAAGGTTCATGGTTAGAGCCAAGAACCCCAAATAAATATCGTGGATTCCTTCTCCACACACAGACCCAAGCCCCAGTTTCTAACAGATAACTTTCAAGGAGGTTGGCTGAGTTCCCTGCTGGACAGCTTACTTTTCTCCACATGGAAGATGCTGCACTCTGGGGATCTGCCAGCACTGGGTTTCCGCTTCCACTGAGTTTGTGGATTCTAATTCACATTGACCAAACAGCTGCAGCAAGCTGCCACTCCTGCCTGCTGTCACCTTTGACGGAGCTATTTGCCCAGTCAGCACAAAGGAACATCCCCATCTTGCAGCCATTCCAGTTGATCACCAGCATTCCCATTCCAAACCTACCCTAAATTGCTCATTAAGAGAAGAGACTGAGTTCTGCAGCTCCTCCCTGTTTGTTCTTCTGAGATACCTGCTTGCAAGCTGTCAGAGATGGTTCTCCCCAACTTTTTATCTCTCTGGAAAAAAAAGTGTCTTTTCCAGAGAAATATATAAATATCTCTTTGGATGCAAACTCTTAAACTGATACCTGATCCGTACTGAAATAGCTACAAAAAGAAGATAAGAGTAATATCAAATAAAATAAAAAAAAAAAGAAACAAAAATATTTCTACTTCAAATGTATGATTTTTACTAAACTCACTTTGCCAATCTAATGTCTTGGGACACAGTTTACATAAAAATGTACAATACTCTGATATTAGTGCTTGAAGCATATACAAGTGACTTTCTCTTACTATGTTGAACGTGGAACTTGGTTAGTATTTTATAGTTCTGCTGTTCAAGATATAGCTATGATGAACTTTCCAAAACTGACAATGAGATCTATGACTTCTCCTAAAATTGGCAAACTTCATCTTAATGTGTCACAAATCAGTTCTTTTATCTATAGCCCTAATCACCATCTTCAAAGCTCTGTAAATGGCTTCCATCAACCCTGCCTCACATACTTTTCAAATTACAGCTTTAGAGCAATATGTTTAATTCTTCTCAGAAAAAATCAAATCCTGCCAAGGATGGAATCCAGAACACCCTGCAAATCAACTTCAACTTTCTGTACAGCAGCAGTTACACTGGGCCAAGATCCCAGGTGTCTCAGTCCTTACGCTGGCCGCTGCTTCTCCAGCACAGTCCACTTTCCATGCTCTTTCTCAATCTCTAACCAGCACAACTGCTGTCTGGAAAGCACTGAAAGTAGAGCCATGAAGATTTCAAAACTTCTCTTAAATCCTGGCATTCTAAGACTTTATGCCTGAGTAACCAAGACTCAACCTCACCCATTTCTCAACCTTTGTGAGATTTCTGTCCTGTTCACATTAGCATCAAACCCGTAATAACTTCAATATTATTGTACGAATCACCTCTAAAAATACCCAAGTTGAAACCATCACCAAGCAAAACCCAGAAAGACAGAACCAGCTACTACTCATCTCAAGACCAGTCTAAAAATCTTTAAAAACAATTGTGGACAGAAGGGCTGCCACTCTGCTCATAGTAACATGAATCTCTCTCTACTACAAAAATGAAGATCTAAACTTTAATGCATTTTTTCTCCCCAAGAACACAGAGGAACTTAATTATATGTTGTAAACAAACCACTTTCTATAGACACATAGCCATTTTGAATGGATAATCATGATTACAAACTCATCATGAAGGAAAAGAACAAATCCCTTTTGATTGGATGGAAAAGAAGGCACAAAAGGAGGCCAGCAGCCAGGAGGCTGAGTCACAAAGCAACACAAAAAGACAGGACAACAGTTATACCCACATACAGAGATATATCCATGTGCTGGCCAGAGCAAGTTTCTAATCCTGGAACAAAATGTCTAATTTAGACCACGTAGAAGAAACCCAGTAACACACAAGGACGCGAATCCCACAAGGATACGTGACACATTACACATACACATCTATTTTCTATGACATCAGATGACTTCAAAGTCAAGATAACTGTTTGAATTGGTTTATGCTAGGGCAAGCAGCTTGACAATTCACATACAGTATTTATCAAAAAATGTAAACTGCTGTCATATCACATAGGCAAGTAATGAAATGACCACATCATGATAATAATAGGGCCCAACTGTACTTCTTAGTAAAAATACAGAAAACCTGAATTCTACACTTTGGCAAGAGCAATGGCTCCTTCTTCCTTGTATTTTTAGAATGTGAAATTTCAGATATACAGCAAAAAAAAATAAAATATATATATGCACACAAAACAATGAAATACTGGAACGTGCATTTCTCCAAGGACAAATTATAAAAATAAATCCATGTAATGCCCAGCACAATGTTTGCAGTCAAGTAGTCTGAAAAGTCACTAAAAGAAACATCAGGGCCTTATGTTCAAGCAAACTTATGTCAAATATACAAAACCTTGACATTTGTTAGGTCAAGGCCAAGTTTTGTGGTTTTTTTTAAGAGTTAAAGTAACTATAAGAAATACTTACTTTTTCACATATCTAAGGCAATTTGAAATTATGCCTTTTTATATACCTTTTCCTTATCCAGTATTACTGTTGATGTCTGCATGTGTCCACATGCCCTGAAGTTACCATTTGAAGTACAGAAGAGCAGAAGAAAAGCACAGTAATTCAGGTTATAAGTGTATTTAATTTTTCTTTTTCTTTTAATTTCCAATGGAAAGACTGGTGTGTTTTCTGAAGTATATACACTTATGATCAACTTTGACAAAAAAAATACCAAAACCAGACCTTCAATACTGCAGCTGCAATTGTGTATTGGGAGTCTTAGCCAGTTAGATGTCTAAATATGTGCATCTTCCGAACATGCAATACATTTCAGTTGCTTATAAAACTGTATCTGCAGAGGGTGGGCTTTGGACCCTTTCACAGATTCTGGCCTTGAATCAGAAAATTTTAAAAGTAAACCATATATTTTGCCAAAATGCCTCACAGTTTCATTCTAACATGCTAAGAAAACAGTGACAAGAAAACTTAGACAGACACACGTGAAACAGTAAGAGAAAATTTATACTTAGAGGGGAAATACCAATTATTCCATAACCTTACACATTCAGTTCTGAGAGATAAAAGTAAAGGACTTAGTGTGCTTTTCAATCAAAGTAGAATGGGTCATTACCTTAAA